CCACTCTACGCATTTGACGAAGTGAGCTGCAGCTCACAAAAGCTTATGCCTTTTAATCAAATTTGTTAGTCAGAAAAGGTGATACCAGATTTCTAATTTTAAGTTAAAGTAGGTCTTAACCCCACTTGGAGCTAAAGGTGGAATTGGTTTAAAAATGGCAATGGGTTAGCTTCAATAATGATTCTTAGTCCCTTGGTGACATACAATGAATATAATATGCTTAACGCTTTTCTTCTTCCTAGCATTTTTCCCACAATATGCAGGTTCTGCTTTTTTTTTTCAGATCGACCAAATGTTGATCTGTTGGTTGCGACAGGAATTAACCAACTGGCTTGTTGCCCAAGCCTAACGTTGTAGGCTGAGAGAATGACTGGCCCAAAGTCACCCAGCCAGCTTTCATGCCTAAGACGGGACTAGAACTTGTGGTCTTCTGGTTTCTAGCCTGAAGCCTTAACCACTAGACCAAACTGGCTCTCTTTATATAATATGCTTAACTATTTATAACTAATTAATGATATTTTAGAGAGCTATAGCCCCCATAACATTTTTAAATCCCTGGTTGATCTATTTGTATTACATTATTTTTTTCATGTTTTCTTTTGTAGTTGTTCATCTACTTTCTTCAAAGAGTTAAAAAGATATTTAAAAAGGAAAAAAATAATAAATGGCTTGTCTATCAACTTTGTCTAAAAGAACACCCTGTAGCTCCACATCAATAAAACTTCCTTTTGTTAAAGAAAAGTATCAAGGAAGCAGTAGATAGATGAGAAATCATGATATTTCAAGGAGAGATTGCAAAATTCAAGGTGTGCAAAATACATTTTTTTGCTAGGGGACCATTAAACACATAGTTCTTTGCTCTCTAAATCACCTTAAAAAGGTGTTCTTGGAGAACTGAGTGCTGCATTTTAAAGGGTCCTCATGGAAGATTTTATTCAACCAATATACACCTTGAGTAGAGATGCCTCCTGTAGTGGGAAATGAATTTATTTATTTATTTTATTTATTTATATTTCAAATTTAGATACCACCCATCTCATGAAAAAGTGACTCTGGGCG